CCCCGTCACACATCGTCACAAAAATAACGTCGCACATTCTATTAAAAATAAATATTCACATTTATAACTTTACCAAGTTTGTAATACCACCCTCTACAACTGTACCTAATTTATAATATATTTATAATATATTTATCTATGATTATACCAAGTTTATGATACCTTTCTCTATAATTGTAGCAAGTTAGTAAAACCATCCAACATAAAAATATAGTCTCTAATAAAACCACAACCACAACCACAACCACGCCACAACCACTCACTCACAACTACTTTTTAAAACAACAACAACAGAGATTTGTTGAAACACCAAACCAAACTTTCTGACAAATGAAGGTTTATTAAGTCTGCTCTAAGGTTTAAAAAAAACAATTACCAAATCAAGAATAATATTATACGTCTAATAAACCGTAATTTAAAATATTTAAACATTTTAAATAAATTCTTAGATTTTCAAATCATAATAGCTTTCACTAAACGCCTCACAATTTTAACTCATTTAAAAAAGAATAAATAATACCTCGAATTTTTCCATGATTCTATTAAAATATCGTTTTTCTTTCGAAAGATAATTACGATATTGTTTTTTAGTCTTTTAATGTTTATTTGAAATTCAACACCCCCCCCCCCCATTTCTTCTTGATGGAACTAACAATTATGCTATTAATTTTTGTACCATATATAATTTATAATTCAACAAATCATCTCCCCTTAACGATGTTGACTTTAGAAAAAAATTTATTCGTGAGCTCAAACTCAACCGGCCATTAAAGCTATGCCACTTCGAGTTCTAATTGATTGTAATCGAATCCACTGTTTACAAAACATAATGGCGGTCGTCCAGCCTAGCGCTGGGTCATTGTTATAATTTAATTCGTAGAATATTAGTTTAAGTTTTTAGTCAACGTTGAGGTAATTGAAAGATTGTTATAAGGCTAATAAGACGTCGAATAAGATGAGATTTTTATTTTAAAAAATAATTTTTCGTAGGTAGAAAAAGGATTTTTGATAAAGGAATGTAAATTTTGAAATATATTTTTTTTTCAAATTGATGTTTTAAATTAGTGTTGTGGTATTCGTTGGCGTTTTGTTTATGTTGGTTTATGTTAATTAGTGTTGACGTAAGTAAAGTTTCCCTTTCAAACCTGAGGTCTATGGGGCAAGTGAAGTAGAGTTCACTTGTTTGTTTCTGTGACCTCGGCATATGAAGAGATAATGTGGTCTGCACTATGCCCAGCCGCCTTTACTTTCCCTAACGTGAGTTAGGTACCCATCAGAGTTGGGTGGACTCAGGGACGGTCTACTGACTTGAACCCGGATTCGAACTCGAGACTTAAGGGTTACGCCCGAGTGTTGATGTGTGTTAGTTTATATGTGTTAGTTTATGTGTGTGTAAGTTTATAGGCTTATGTTATGTCTCTGTTAATGTATATGTGTTACTGTATGTGTGTGTTAGTTTTAACATGCGTATACTATGTCTCTGTTAATGTATGTGTGTGTTCGTTTATGGGTTCTTATATCTGTGATAATGTATGTGTATGTTCGTTTGTGCGTGCGTCAGTGCATCCGCGTAGATGTATCTGTATTCATGTATGTATGTGTGTAAGTTCACGATTGTGTTATGGTAAATTATCGTTTCAGTAATTTCGTTCATCGGCGTGGTAGCTTACGTGAGCGTGCAACGTTTATGTATGTGTGTGTTGGTTTATATTTGCACATTTATGCGTGTATTAGTTCAGTTGCTGGTTAATTTACGTGTGTTAATTTATGTGTGTTAGTTTTGGTGTGCCATAGCTTATGTTGGTACAATTTTAGTGTAGAACATTAACATATACGTATGTGTTACTATTGCTTCTTAGTGTTTATGTGTATATATCTTACATGCGTGGTTTATGTTTGTATTTAGTATGTTACCATAAATGTTTATTTAAGTGTGGGCTGTGTCACGTCTGCGCATTTACTGGAGTGTGTTTTAGTATATTACTTTTTTTTTGTGCATTAGAAACTATTTATACTAATATGTAAAGTAAAATTTCTAACGAGGCGGTACATAGGACAGGTGAGTTCATCCAGGTCAGTGACCTCGACATATGAAAGGATAGTATGGTCATCACTATGCTCTGCCGACTTTGCATTTCCCAACATGAGTTAGGTACTCATCAGAGCTGAGCGGACTCAGGGAAGTTCAACTGACACAAACCCGGTATTCGAACTCAAGACTTTCGAGTTAGTGGTCGTATGCTCTACCATCCTACCACGCTGTCCCCTAAACTACAAGTACCAACAAAGTTAGACAACGAATGAAACAAGGAAGTAATTTGTTTATTTTCATCGTCAATAATACATCCATGTGATAGTTATATTTTTTTGTAATATATGAACACGGGGTATGATAAATTCAAGTTTCTAAAAATACATTGCCCTTTGACATCACGTGGTTTTTACATAGCTAAAAATAGCTCATATTTAACATAGCGACACATACACAAACAATAAATACTGAAGCAAACACAAAAGATGGCAGTTCATCCACGCATGCGCGGTGCGTGGGAGTTTTTGTTGAATTATACATGTACTTCATAGCTGAAGAATGTCTAGCTGAAGTACTTCTAGCTTATTTAATGTTAACCTTTTATGCCCTACTAAAGTAATTCAAAGTTGAACCTCTATTTTGAAATGCTAGCTCAAGTACTTCTAGTTAAGGTACTTATGTTTAAGTAATTTAATTTTAAGTTGTTCTAGCTTAAGCGCTTCTAGCTTAAATACTTCTAGCAATATTCTAGCAGCTGACTAGGTACAGCCAGCTAAGGTTCATGTAGCTGATTTACTTCTAGCTAAAGTAAATCTAGCTGATTTACTTCTAGCTAAAGTAAATCTAGCTGATTTACTCATAGCTAAAGTAAATCTAGCTGAGTTACTCATAGCTAAAGTAAATCTAGCTGAGTTACTTCTAGCTAAAGTAAATCTAGCTGAGTTACTTTTAACTAAAGTAAATCTAGCTGATTTACTTCTAGCTAAAGTAAATCTAGCTGATTTACTCATAGCTAAAGTAAATCTAGCTGAGTTACTTTTAACTAAAGTAAATCTAGCTGATTTACTTCTAGCTAAAGTAAATCTAGCTGATTTACTCATAGCTAAAGTAAATCTAGCTGAGTTACTTCTTGCAAGTAAATTACGTCAGCGAACCCGAGTCGTCAGCTTAAATACGTAGTTAATCTAAAGTACATTCTGGTAGAGTACATCTAGCTAAAGCACTTTTCCCTTGAGTACAGCTAGTTAACATTCATCTTCTAGGTTCAGCTGAGTTTGGAGATGAAGTTGTTATACTTGTAAACTTAGCCCCTTTTGGAAGTATACGCTTCCAACCGTACGTAAAAAGCATACATTTCAGTGTTAACCGCTTTTAAAAGAAACAAAAAGGTTTGGCAAGAATTGGTGACATGACTTTATAGTCTGTCATGACTTGATGGCAAGTTGACTTTATGGTTTGTCATGACTTGATGACAACTGGACTTTATGATCTATCATGACTTTATGACAAATTGACTTTATGACCAATTGACTTTATGATATTTCATGAAGTGATGACAAATTGACTTTATGATCTGTCATGACTTGATGACAAATTGACTTGACAAATTGACTTTATGATGTATCATGATTTGATGACAATAAATTTGACAAGTTGACATTATAATCCGGCATAATATGGTGGCTACATTCACTGTATGATGAAGCATAAAATCGGTGACATATTAACTCTACAACCTGACATAATGTGACAACACACATACTTAATGTCAGCACATTAATTTATAACTCGTTCTTTTCATCAACTGACATATGACGCGACACATTCATCACGTGATCTAACATAATTATTTTAATAAAACATTAGTCCTACACTGTAACACCAACATCTTACTCTGAATGGCCCGACAAGTTCACCTAACTCAAGCTATTCGCCAACTTACCCTCGACAAGGTAAACCGTGCTCTGCTTTCGATGTTATTTTTTTTATTCAACAAAACACATCACGATAACAATACACCTTAATTAAATTCACCTTTTTAAAGACATAGCTTAAACACCGACCAACATTTTTTTTTTAATTTTTAAAACTATTATTTACTATCCACAAGGCGTTATAATAATGATAATATATAGAATATTTATAGAGTACAGTGAAATATTATTGATGATTTCTTAGACTAACCCCCCCCCCCCCCCCCCATCATGCCCAAAGATGAACAACTCACAAGCACAAAGATAATTAACGGGCATTTCCTATTGGCTAGAAACGGCTTAGATAAGTAACCAAGTTTATTAGCCATGGTCAGTAGCTGTAAGCCATAGAAGAATTTCACAGCCATATTGACGTCACAGCCATGTCCCTAACAGCTTTATTTGACTTCAACGGCAGCTTTATTGACGTCCCATACATAAATTTTGACGGCACAGACAGACACATGTTTGACGTTCAACCACCTTTAATGGTAGTGACAACATTCACGTCAGTATGACGTCACTTAAAGCGTCTTTAGCAGCCATTGTGACCACCCCAGAACTAATATGTGTAGTCCTTCCCCCCATAACCCCCCCCCCAGTGGCCTGTATATTCATCGTAGCTACTTATAATATCGCTCACAATCTTAAGAGTCCTAGATTATTTACATAGGTACAAGTATACAGAACAAATCCAGGATCTTACTTTAGCTTACTTTACATTGGCACATGTATGCAGAACAAATCCAGAATCTTACAATAGATCTTTTTACATTGGCACAAATATATGGAACAAATCCAGTCTTACTTTGGCTTAATTTACATCGGCACATGAATACAGAACAAATCCAGGATATTACTTTAGAATACTTCACATTGGCATATATATATATATATATATATATATATATATATATATATATATATATATATATATATATATATATATATATATATATATATATATATATATATATAATTCCAGAATCTTACTTTGGCTTACTTTACATTGGCACAAAAATATACAGAACAAATCCAGCATCTTTATCTTAGTACAAGTATTTTAGTCTTACGGTAACTTTCTTTAACAAACATTATGCACAGATAAAGCTTGTTGAGGATTTGTGTCTTTGATTACCCCTTGTAAGTGTACAGCCACCCCCTCCCCCACGATGTACAGTACACCAACATGGTGTACAATACACGCTGTGTACACGTTGATACTAGTAGAGATTAATTTTTAGATCACTGACTAAAATGTGGGTTTTATTAAATCTGTTTTCAAGTTGTTTCATTCAACTTTAAAAGCACACACCACAATATCAAATATCAGGGTCAAAGGTTATGCGCGCGCAGGTTCATTCACCGGCCGAGCTCGGGCGATCCGATCCATTGGCCACGAGGGCTTCCGAGTGCTCCCGAGCGCGACGTCGGAGTTCGGCGACGCTGCTGGTCCTGTGCTCGCTGAATGCCGGGAAAGTGGTGGTCGGGTTGCTGGTGGTGATGGTGCTACTTCCGGTGGTGCTGTTGCTGCTGGTTGATCGGGGTGGGCAGCACATGCAGAAAGGGAGACAACCTAGGTAGGAGAGTAATAATAATAATAATAATAATAATAATAATAATAATAATAATAATAATAATAATAATAATAATAATAATAATAATAATAATAATAATAATAATAATAAAAATAATAGTAATAATAATAATATTAATAATAATAATAATATTAATAATAATAATAATAATCATAATAATAATAACAATAACAATATAATAATAATAATAGCAACAACAATAACAATAATAATAATCAACCAATTAGATATAAAGTTAGGATCATGTCCCAGCACATTAATAGTCAGGCCTAGTATCCGAAATGACTAGTCTGAAAATCTTAACATGTGCAGGATTAAAAAAAAATTAAAACGAAAGACAAACAAAATCAAAGTTTTCTCGTATATTCCTTTATTACATTCAGGGGAGTGGCACACATATTTTGTGACAAAAGCACTCGTTTTTTGAGAAAACCAGTAAAGGCGAATAGTTCTAAGAATATTTGTTGAGAATATTTTACAAAAGGATTTTGAAGGATTTTGAAAAATCGGAAACAGAAAGTGCCCCTTCCGGTTATCGGAAGTCGCTCGAAATTGGATAGAAATGTAGGTAGGCCCTACAGGAGCTCAGACTTAATATGAAAATTCGCCTACCCAACTGAAACAATAATCAAGTTATCGTGTTCCCATAAAAAAAACCTTACCAGACTTATAAAAAAAATGTTTTAGTGCCTCTTCTACAAAAGAATTTCCTAATCGTAAGTTTTCAAGCGGTTTTCGTTTTGACTGCAACATAAACAAAAACACAACTAAAACTGATCTTGACCCCATTCAAAAAGGTTGACTATCTAATATTAAAAAAAAAAAAGGTTAAGTTCTACAGGTGCTGCTGACCTTTGAATGCAGGGTGAGGTAAATGCGTGGGTGGCAGAAACGACCTTGGTGTCATCAATGAGTCATACCCGGATTTGAACCTTGACCTAATTAAAAAAAAGAATGATTAGTGACGATTAAGATAGATAAACAAAACTAAATATTGTGAAATAGTTCTCGATAATTTGTTCCATTGAGGTGAAGACATACCGTTCTCTCACTTAGATCTATGGGCCCACTTTTTACAAATCTATCAAAGTTCACACAATACATTGATTTAAGCTCCCGCAGCACACACACCTAAGTTCCTATATATCAGTCTAAGCTCCACAATACATATAACTAAGCTCATACAACACATCGGCCTAAGCTCATACAACATCGACCTAAACTCCCACAAAACATCGACCTAAACTCCCACAACACATCAGCCTAATCTCCAACAACACACACACCTAAGCTCCTACATCAACCTAAGCTCCAACAACACATGCACCTAAGCTCCAACAACACATATACCTAAGCTCCAACAACACATACACCTAAGCTCCAACAACACATACACCTAAGCTCCTACATCAACCTAAGCTCCAACAACACATACACCTAAGCTCCAACAACACATACACCTAAGCTCCAACAAAACATACACCTAAGCTCCAACAACACATACACCTAAGCTCCAACAAAACATACACCTAAGCTCCAACAACACATACGCCTAAGCTCCTACATCAACCTAAGCTCCAACAACACATGCACCTAAGCTCCAACAACACATACACCTAAGCTCCAACAACACATACACCTAAGCTCCAACAACACATACACCTAAGCTCCAACAACACATACACCTAAGCTCCAACAACACATACACCTAAGCTCCAACAACACATACACCTAAGCTCCTACATCAACCTAAGCTCCAACAACACATGCACCTAAGCTCACACAACACATCAACATAAACTCTCAGAACGCATACACATAAACTCCCACAAAACATCAACCTAAACTCCCACAACACACCAACCTAAACTCCCACAACACATACACCTAAGCTCCAACAACACATACACCTAAGCTCCTACAACACATACACCTAAGCTCCTAGCTCGCCCACTTACACGTCAATGCCAGAAAACAAGCCTGGCCTATGCATGGAGGCCGCCAAGAGACTCTGGGTGAAGGGCAGGGCGCTGCGCCCCATCTTCGCCATCAAACCAAAGTCCGGCGGAAACATCAGCGGCGGCATCAGTCCCAGCATGCTCTTCATCAGCGCCGGGTCACTTCCGTATGCCATGCTGAGAGCCGTGGAAGCCGGGAACGAATCCCGACCAAGCCCGCTCCGGCTGTCTATACTTTGCAGGGAGGAGACTTGCGGGAAAGCGAGGGGTGAGGGGGGTAGTTTGGGGGAGGAGGAGGTGTTGGAGTCGTTGACCGACAACACGCTGGGCGGGTTGAGGAGGGAAGTGGGCGTGTTCAAGATCAGCTTGGACGCTTCGTGATTGGACGGGGGCAAGTAACTCGACCGGAAACCCCGGGACAAGCTGAAAAAACCGGGGTCGAATTTTTTACTGTCCGGTCCGGCCAGGTCGTGCCGGTGTCCGGTCGTCCGGTCCCGGTCGTTGTTGTTGTCGTCGTTGCCCTCCCCGCAGCCGTGTTCCGGCTTGTTCTCGGCGGCGACCTCCGCTCTCTTGGCGACGGAGAAGTCATAGGCGATGTGCTGGGTCGACTCGCGGGTCACATGACCCGACTCCGAGGGCGCGTCCTCCTCGTTTTTGTCCACGCAGACCTCGCTCTCCTCGTCGTCCGAGCGTTTCTCGCCGGCGTCGTTCTGACGTCGAGGATCCGATGACGTCATGTCGGCTATTTTTAGATCCGGGTCCTCTTTGTAAAAATCGCCGGCGTCGTCCTCGTGGGCGTGGCCGCCGGAGGTGAGGCAGATGTCGGGGGAGGGTTGCGGGGAGAGGGGGGTCTCCCGCCCCTTTCTGTCGTCGTCGTCGTCCTCCGCGCCTTGACCGGAACTCCGGCCGGACGCCGGCCCGGGCTGCTGGGAGAACCGTTCGCTCTTTCGCCATTTGGCGCGGCGGTTCTGGAACCACACCTGTGTGAGAGAGAGAGAAGGTGAGGGTTAACATGGAATCATTGTAGATTAGAGAGGCATCGTCTTTTTCCGTTTGTACCTACACTTGGGGCAGATGAAGCAGAGTTTATCTGTTTCATTGACCTCGGTATACGAATGGACAGTTTCGACTAGTACTATGCCCAGCCGCTTTTGTTTCCCTAACGTATGTCAGGTACCCATCATAGCTGGGTAAACTCAGGGACGTCCTACCGTGGATCGTTGTAAAATATAGAGGGTTAACAGTGGATCATTGTAAGATAGGGTTAATACTGAATGTCTGTAAGGTATGAAGTGTTAACAGTGAAGCGCTGCTTGATAGAGAAGTTTAACATAAGGGTAAGTGGGTTAACCAAGTAATTTCTTACAGGAGATTACGAGTTGATGTAAAGCTAGAGCTGAGGTTGAAGAATCTAAGAGTTTAGTTATGTCTCAGACAACGCTAACCATCCAAGCAGACTATCAACGAGTCAGAAAACACAGACAAGATTATAACATCACGAAAACGCCTAAAATATAACAAGCCAAGGTAACTGGCGTTGCTAACATAGAGCTTCGTCGGAATAAACTGCAAGAAAATTGGTTTTAAATACGTTAACAGAAGAGGTGCTATAGAAAAAAAAGTTTGTTTTGTTAAAGAAGTTAATGCCGCGGCTTTGTGTTTTTTAGCTAATGCAGTTAATGACGCTATTTAACGAAGTTAGTTTAAGCAGGTAGTGCCGTTAGAATAACGGGTGTTATTCGTTAAAAGTTAGCGCAGAAAAGAAGGTTATCACCAACTCTAGCCGATTATAATTTCATTAATTTGATTTCTATCTTCAATAGCCT